ACACACACACATCACTCTCTCTCTATATATATATATATATATATATATATATATATATATATATATATAATGACTGTGCCAGTGTTTATATCCTACTAATGTATTAACATTATAGGAAATATACTGAAAATGGTTTGATAGTAACAATTAAACCAACAATACTAAATTAAAATAGCCGTCTTGATTCTAGAATCGATATACAAGTTAAATTTACGCACTAAATCGAAGGTTTAAAAACACAGTAAGGGTTAAAAGCCATTCTTGAAGCTTCCCTCAGTGTCACACATGTAAATAAGCGCGGACGTCATCTTGCCGCATTCAGCAAACTGCATCCGGGTCATTTTCTGCTCTCAAAGAATGCTGAGGTAAATCAAAAGCGCCTGTCAGAGACTATCAGACAAAAGCAGCGCCTGTATTCTTATATCTCTTATAGTTATTGGCCTGTATACATTTAAGATTTACAACATTAAAACTATAAGCACCATTAGTTGTAAAAAACGAGAGTTTTTATTGTAATTCTGGCATTTATAAAGGATGTAATGCGCCACCTGCTGGCCGCCTGTGTAATGTAATAACCGTATAATTAATTATTTACGGTGTGTAAATAGTAGTGCACTCGTGGTATCCATTCAAATTATGACAGGATATATTTAAATAATGGAAATTTAAATGTTTAACTTCATATAAAAGTCCAAATATGCGATAAAAAAGCAAAAGGGACATGTAACTGAACTGTAAACAATAGCATTGCATTTATTTAGCATGATCAACATCATATACAAATCTATCATTGATCACAAACTGTTCTAATGATTGATATATATTCTTATAGCTACAAAAATAAGTGCTGGCTATTGTACCTTAAATCAAGACTCTTTGAATGGTGTAAACATTATAAAACTTCATGGAATGTAATAATCATCAAATGCTGAAATTATGTATTTATTTAATGAATTTCAGTAATGTTCCCTGGGTTTTCTGTAAATAAATCTGTAACAAACAATGGTTTTCATGGTTGGTGACCTGAGTTTTGAACTGAATGACACATTATAGTCACTTCAAAATGACTCAAGAGCTTTGTATTTTCATTTAACCGATGCATTAAAGTGCTATTAAGTATTTTAAGTACATAACATACACTTGTTAAATCATGGCATAATAAAGCAAGTGTATTTTATAAAAAAAAAGTAAACATGGAATTACTCTGAATTAATTCAGGATGATGTAATTATTCATTCTGAATTGTTTAGCAACAATTACAACCAGAATTATAAACAACTCTTACACTATTTGTAAGGCATTACAAATTTCTCCTTTAAAATCCCTGAGTGAATTATAATTATTTTATGACATGATATTATATAATAATATCAAGTCAAAAGTGATCACAATGTACATTTTTGAATAATAGTAATAAATTGATGAAATATCACAAGTATGGGAATAACTACACTGCAAAAAAAGCACTATTCCAAACTCCAAATATCCACAAATTCTTAAATCAAGAAGCATTTTCTACACTGTAAAACCTAACAGTGAAAAATCACTAAATTAAATGAGTAAGTTTAACATATAATTTTAAAAAAGTTACTTTGACTTAATGAAAAAGAGTTTTGGAAACTCATAAACTGATTATATTAAGCAGAACTCAAACCTAATGAGTTATGAATGACTTAATTGTATTTTTTGAGTCAACTTAACTCTAATTTCCTTAAGCAATACCAAACCATTTGAGTAGCTATATATGTTTGCACTTAATTTGATCTATTAACTAAAGTCATAACGATTTGATAACTGAACTTAAATGTTTAAGTTACTAGCACTCTAAGGGCTCTAAGCGCAATGATCTAAGCGCAAGGTCTAAAATGCATGGCGCAAAAGCATTAAGGGCCTGTCCGAATCCATTCAGCCTCTTAACTTTCTCTTTACTTTTTTTTTTACTCTTTACTCCTTTACTTTGGTGGAGTAAGGAAACAGTGGAATCTCACTCCACTGAAGACATCCATTAGCCGACATATTTAATTTCGTTTGTTAGGCGTAAAGTGTTGTTTCAAAACAATTTCTAAATTCAGTTCTAATTTCCAGCAAAGGAATAAATGAACACTAATAACGAAGTGTGGTCAGAAAACTAAGTTATTTCCAAACACACGTCCTGTTCTTTTGCTCTATATGGTGATGCAGACGTCTCCAAAACCCAAAAGTTGGACAAATCTAAACTTGTTTTATTAAAACAAATATAAATATGCATATAATAAGTAATACTGATATCAATAATAACATTATATTTATGCAAATCGTCAATAAACTGAAAAAAACCAAGGCAGTGGTTTTTATATTTCTGCAAAAATGAATAATTTTTATAATATTTTAATCCTTTAATTATTTTTAATTTGTAACGATATTTGGTTATTGCTGTACATCCTGTGTGATATTTGGTTATTGCTGTACATCCTGTTTGTAATAAGCAATGTGTACACGTTAAAGCCGCACAACTATTGTGCTTGGCTGGACTTTAGAGCTGCTTTTAGTTGGTCAGTAGTGCAGTCTATTTTAGTTTCTCAAAATAGCAACGCACCAAAAATGCACCTTAACACACCTCCTTTCTAGACCAGCACACCCATAATTCCACAAAGTGGCGCAAATGGATTTGCTATTTAAACAACGTGGTGCAAAAAAGGAAAATTACAGTTGAGTTGGTCCGAAAATAGCAACAAACCTCGCCAAACACATCTTGCACCTTATTGCGCCGGGTGTATGAGAGGGCTTGAGATGTTTGATGATATCAGTGCTTAATTTGTGAACTGCGAGGTCCCGGAACAGATCGGGTTAATGGATCTAGCATGTTACCTGAGGATGTTGAGGTGTCGCACACGAAAGTGGAGATAGGGGTGGGGGGGATAGAGGGGCATTGGATAGTGGAGGGGTGTCGTGGACGCAAGTAAAGAGCTGGGGCGGGGGTTGGTTGTCGCGGATGAAAGTGAAGAGGGTTGGGGAGTCGCGGAAGTAAGTGAAAGTGAACAACTGACAAGGGAGGACAGCGATCGGTTATGCTGATGAGGAGGGAGATCTTTAAAATGAGGTGCCGGATCAGATTTCAGAGGTGCCGAATCCGGCGTGTTCCAGCACAAATTAAGCCCTGGATGATATTAACACAAATAACATATGTGGTATTTGTGTTAACTTTATATATATATATATATTTATATATATATATATATATAAATATATAGTACTCAAACCCTTTTATTTAAAAACTTAAACGGTTTGCCGCAATCGGTTTCCTCAGTTTAAGCTAACTTTTTACAGTGAGTGTGGACAAGCAAGACATTGTCACAATTATTGTCTTGTTTTAAGACCAAATATGTCATAATGAAGAGAGTTTTTTCTTAAAACAAGCAAAGTAATCTTATGCCAGAAGGAAAAACAAGATTATTTTTCTAACCCCTTTGCCGGATTATTTAGCTTGTTTCAAGGAAAAACTCACCTAATTATAACAAATTATTTCCTAAAACAAGACAATATTTTGCTTGTCTAAAAATGCTTCTTAAGTTATGAATTATTAGATATTTGAACTAGAAACAAGGCAAAAAAATCTAAGTAAGAATATCTTTCTTGCAGTGTAGTGACAGAATCTCGTCCTTTTTTGAAATTAACAATACAGGCACTATCTGTATCAGTCTAAAGCGTTTTAAAACAACATGATTTAGTGAAGTTGGTCCAAACGTTTGACTGGTAGTACATGTGTGGAGTAATAAGGCGATCTGAAATGTTTAATCGTGTTCATCTGTGTCTGATTCCTCATCTGTTCTTGCCCAGCTCTGAATCTTCCCAGTGCCAAAGATCACATAAAAGATGGCTCCGAATGCACTCACTCCAGCCGACAACCAGAACACATTCCTCCAGCCGGAAACTGAGTGCTGATCAGACAAAACAAGAGTCAATAAACTGATTTAAAGGTCCTTTTTCATTGATAAAGTCATAAGAAGTAATAGTTCTCCCCCCCCCCAAAAAATGACAATTTCCTCACCATTTATTCACACTCAAGAGTTTTTTTAAATGAATTTCTTTCTTCTTTTAAACACAACAGGGATATACTTGGATAAAGACAGCCATTAAAAGGTGACCCCTTTTTTACAAGACATAAAATAAGTCTCTGATGTCTCTAAAGTGTGTTTGTGTGACATTTCATTTCTAAATTCCATATAAATAATGTTTTATAACTCTTTAAAACTGCCCTTTTAGGCTTTGATCCTAATTGTGCCATTTTGGTCGCTTTAGATTCAAATGAGATTGTGCTCTTTTCAGAAGAGGGCGGAGCTATAAGTGCCTATGCGTCAGCATAGTGGCAGATTCAAAACTCTAATGGCGGACGACTGCTCACGCAGGGGTGTTTATGCTAATGAGGGAGAGATGGTCACTAATGGGCGGGGCTTTCCCCCTCTGATGACACGTACAACGGAAGAATTTCAATCAAAGTGTTTCTGCAGACTGTTTTAATCAAGTGTGATTAAAAACAATAGACTTAATTCATTTTTAACATTAAAAGCTGGCTATATTCACACACTTTCTCCACATAACTGTTTATACAGCTTATAAAACTGATTTTTGCATAATAGGTCCTCTTATAAATCCATAATAGGAACAAAATAAATACAATGGAAGTCAATGGCTTTTGGTATCTCTTCCCTTGTGATCAACAGAAGAAAGAAACTCAACAGGTTTGCTACAAGTGGAAGATTCAGGATTATTTACGCATTTTTTTAGTGAACTATCCCTTTAAACTAATGCAACATTACAGATATTAAAACACAGCTTACATTTTTGGTAAAGTAACCCACTACGATTGGAGCAAGCACACCAGGAATGGTCCCAAAAGTGTTTGTGATTCCTAGAAGCATTCCTGCATACCTGAGAAAATAAAGCACGGAGATAAAACCAATGCCATGAGAGTTTATTGCCATATCAGCTTCTCATCATGGCAAAAACAGATAAAATGTTTAATAAATCTCACTTTATTATTAAAACAAAAGGGTTTATAATAAAAACAAGACATCAACAGCAATAAATAATACATGAATGAAGATCTAAAAATCTTTTGATAAACATTCTACCATTTTTAAAAGTAAAAATACTACCTTAAATGTCTAATAACATTAAAAATAGCGCATGACAAAAGTACTTTATATGTTATTAAAGTACTTTTTTTTGCTATTGCAATATTGAAATGTCTCCTTTGACTAAATGTTGTTGGACATTCATGAAAATCAGATCTGTGAAAAACTCCTCAAAGGCTTTATTTTCTGCGTAGAATGTGGTATTATGGTGTTGTTAGGAAAATTTGCTATATTTTTTATCAGTCCACATTCAAGAGTGTTATGAGATATGGTTAATCCACATGGTGTGGCAAACTTTCTGTAAATATGATATCAAAACTTTTCAATATTGTCAAAATTGCTATGAAACTTATAGGACTTTGCACTTTGAATTAAGTGAAAATGATTCTGGTATCATGAACAGCACTGTAAGACATACTATACAATAAATACATGATGCAAATCAGTCAAGCATTGCTGGCTTTTACCGTGGAGCGATGTCAATCTGGTTAATGAACACACCAGCAGCACTGAATCCGCCAAACGCACTTGATAAAGTCAGAAAAGTCACAGCCAGAACACCACTACACCCTGAGAAGCCCACAGCCAGCAGGAAAGCAGCAGGCAGAAAGAGACCTGTGGGACAGAGAGGAAAATAATATCAAGAAATCTGCACTGCAATTGATCGGTCAATATGTATCTGCCCTGTTGTTCACTGTCAATATAAATATTTATTACAATTTTTTATATGCATGCTTTAATCCTATTGATGCTTATTCCTGCCACCGTATTTAAAAACCCTTTATAAACTTGCAATTTAAAGATAAAAAATTAAAGGATATCAATTCTCAATTCAAAGAATTATTCATTAACAGTCAGAATTATGATATATACATATATATATATATATACATTAACTTTTTTGATCACCAGCCACTGTGGCTAGTACATTTCCAACATTACTAGCCACTTGCCATTTTCACTAGCCACAATTTCTTTGCTTGGAAAATATATTTTATATTAATAGATGTGATGTGACCTTGATATGCTAAAATGACTTGATTTAGATGTTGTGTTGTCCACATGCTTAGTTTCACTAGTCCACAGAAATGCTTGATTGATGCTTGACTGTCTACTGCAGGTCACTACATTTCATTTATTTCACTATTTGTGTGTGTTGTGTATGAGCTTGCTCACAGTGCATGAGCAAATGGGTTGTGTAGCATTGCAATTGGTTTTTATTTCACATGACTTTTTTAGGGCTCAAAATTAAGGATTTACCAAATATTTCTTTGACTTTGAAACACACAAAAAATAAATAAATATTTCTTAGCCACACATTTTAAATGTGTAAAAAAACAAACAAGCAAATATATAGCTGTATACATGCACTTTTTATTTAACAAAACTTTTCTTCTTTTTTTTTTTAATTGACATTTAAAAAGATCTTCTGTCATGTGTCTAAAATATAAACAGTAATATGTCCTGGCTAAACATCTCAGATCAGCAGTTACATAAATGGGGAGTTAATCTCATATTAAAACAATTTTATTGTAAAGGATGATAATTAAACTGTATTAACAGAAATAACTGTATTAGGGAAAGAAAACAGGTAAAAACATATCACGAGTGATAATGAAAGGATGATCACCTGCCTGAGAATAATTAAAACGAAAGCAGTGACTGCTGCTTACAAAATGTTTGCTGCTTTCACGAGCATCTCTGTTTGTCTGTCTTGTCTATTTCAAAGAGAACCGATCGCAGCAGTTAAGCTTCCTCTACACACGGTTGATTCGCGCAAGTTAACGGGAGCGCGCGCGCTTTTTAACAGGTGATGTGCGCGAGTAATCATCATCTCATAAGGTATTCACCTGCTTTTGCTCGCGTGCCGTGAACACAGTTACTCTTGTCAGTCGTGCTGCTTCTCGATTTCAAGATCACATTTGCACGCATATTGAGCCATCCTTATCGTTGATCCCTGCTTTTAGAAAACTACAATGTAAACATTATTTCCAACCTGCCAATAATAATAATAATAAAAATAATAATGATAATAATAATAATGATAATAATAATAATAATGATGATGATGATAATAATAATAATAATAATGATAATAATAATAATAATAATAAAAATAATGATAATAATAATAATAATGATAATAATAATAATGATGATGATGATGATGATAATAATAATAATAATAATAATAATAATGATGATAATAATAATAATAATAATGATAATAATAATAATAATAATAATAATAATAATAATAATGATAATAATAATAATAATAATAATAATGATAATAATAATGATAATAATAATAATAATGATAATAATAATAATAATAATAATAATAATAATAATGATAATAATAATAATAATAATAATGATAATAATAATAATAATAATAATAATAATAATAATAATAATAATAATAATGATAATAATAATAATAATAATAATGATGATGATGATGATGATAATAATAAT